GCTATGTTTGAAAACTAATGTGCCATTTACCGTGCTTGCGTTTATGGTTATTTCAATTTGTGGTTACTATGAAATTAATGATTGTATATATGAAAACACAAGTGCATATGTAATTATATGCACAACAATGTAAATGTAGTTATATGAAATAGTACAAGTGTTTTCATCCCTTATATATTAATTGGAGAATGATTTTTCAAAAAAAACTTGCGTGTCTTCACCAAAATCACTCTCTCAATTTTAATTTGACATGACATCTCTTAAAATATGACATAACATTCTCTCTAATTTAGCTCATTAATCCCTAATTAAAATTAGTTCAAACTCAATAATTAAAATTAGCCCAAATTCAAAAAAAAAATGAGAATGATGGCTCTATTGATGAAGTTAAGAAGTAATTATCAAAAAATAATCTCAGGAAATAGAAGATTATTTTTACATACTTTCTTTAGATTATATGATTAGGGATTTTGATTATTGTTACTTTTAAAAATAATTTCTTTTTGGATCTTACTTTATTTCAAAAAAATCTGTTCAACCAAAAAGATCAATTAAATAAATCGATTACATTTCTTTTTGGTTCAAATGTAAATTTATATATCATCATCAACTCCAAAGTTAGAAGTATGATAATCTTTAGTAAAATCTACACAAGATTAATATGACGTTTACAAGATTATAGAAATCGTTATATCCACAAATTTGCCTATCCAAAATTTTAGAATATCTTAGAAATAAAATGTATGAGCAACTATAAATTTAAAAGTGTAGAATTTTGCTGCTCTGAAATTTATGTATCATCAATTCTAATTTTCAAATTTGAAAGTCTTTGATAATCCGAAATTTTTAAAGCCTTCAATAAAAAATTAACATTTTTATATTTAATTAATAATGGACTTATTATGGTACGAAATTTATGTATCATCAACTCCAAATTCAAAAATATAAATATTTTTAGTAAAATCTACACAAAAACAATCTTTTGGAAATATTCCAATTAAATAAGAATTACATATTCTGATTAATTGATTGACGTTAACAACATCCAAAATTTTAGTACCATTATTTATAATTGGAAAAGTAGGGAACTTGTTAAGAGTATCTCCACAAAATCGTTAAGTTAGTAAAGTCTCAGAAATATTTCTATGGAAATGTATAAAAATACAGCGAATATTTGGCGGAAATAATCTTAACGATTTCAATTATTTATCCCAGAGACCTGATTTGTGAGAAGATGTTTATGTGTCTTCTCTACAATCAGTCTCACCAAAACAATTATGACATGACTAACAAAATTGTGACATGAAAATTTTGAATCAATAACAAAATCTTGTACAGCTAAATTTATTTATGTTACCATAAATAAACCAAAAAAGTTTTTAATCAATATATTATCAGATTTTTGTTTTTATTCTAAAGTTATATACAAATTTGATTTCTCATTTGAAAATAGTTTAGAAATTGATTATTGAAAAAATAAAATTAGAGAGTATTTTTATAGAATATATATTCTTTTGAAAATAATAATAAAGACTTACCAAAATTTTAAAAGAGACTTTGATATGTTTGTGAAAAAACTTCCTAAGTTTATAAAAAAAAATGTAGTTATTATTTTGAATTTTTTTTTACGCAAGACAATTTAAAAGTAATAAATTATTTTTTATTCGAAAGCAACAACTTTTTTTAATCTGCGTTTTGTTTATAAAATTTATGATTATATATTTTAATGTTTTAAAATATTAAATAATTTATTTGTATTCTAAATACTACTACTTAAGATATCCGGACAAGCAAAATTTAACATTTTTTTTTAACTCTAATGTGTTATATTTTGATTTGACACATTTACATATATAAAATAATAAATGGTAAAATTAGATATATGAAATTCATATTATTAATAAAAATGATATTATTGACCAAAAAAATTAACAACAAAAGAATCAAGAACAATGTCTATAATAAAATCAAACAACTACATAATTCACCTTTTTAAAAGATTAAAATTAAAAACAAAACTACATAAATAATTATCCGCTTGGCGGGAGAATCATCTAGTATTCGTATAAACATATACCGACTGTAAGATTTTGTACTTGATGTTCCTTTCATCAAAATGTTAATATTTCTCTAAATAATTAAAAAAATCAGTATTGTATGTCTTTGTAAACCAAATACAAACGTACGTCACCTTTGAACAAGAAAATAAAACATCTAACTCATTTATTATATATTCGAAAAAAACTCACTTTGTCGAATTTTGTTATGATCCTTAAAGTTACGCGTTTTGAAATTTCTCATTATAGAAATGTTAGTTTTCACTTAGAAATGTTCAGATATATCCACTATAATATTACATATTAATGCTCCTAGAGCTCAATTTGGATACGACGACATCAAAATATTGATTCTCATTCTATCGAGTCGGTTGAGATATCATTGTCGATATCTCCTTCCTATTAAAAGAGAAGTACAATTAGTGAAAATGATTATTTGTTTTAAT